TTGTTGGGTGGTGGGGGTGAGGGAGGTTATTGGAAGGGGCATTGATTGAATGGGGAGGGTGTGGGTAAGTGGGGGCGAATGGAGAGGGTATGAGTGGTGGGGAGTGATTGAATGGAGATGTCTGAGTGGAGGTGTGTGGGCGTGAGTGGGTGTGAATGGTGGTGTGGAGTTGTTGGGCGTGAGTGGGTGTAAATGGTGGTGTGGGGGTGTTAGTGAAGATGTGTGGACGTGAGTGAAGGTGTGTGGATGTGAGTAAAGGTGTGTGGGTGTAAGAGAAGGTGTGGGGGTGTAAGTGAAGGTGTGGGGGTATGAGTAAAGGTGTGTGGGTGAAGGTATGTGTAGGTGTGGGTGCAATCGTAGTATTTGAGTATGGGGAGGAGGGGGTGATTGGTTAAGTGGAGGGTGTGTGAGTGGGACGTAATGGTGAGAAGGTGAGGTGGTTGGGGGGTGTTGATGGAGGAGTTTTGGGGGTGGAGGTATAGGGAGGATATGGGGAATGGAGGAGGGGGTAGATGGGAAGGGAGGGGACGACACACTACAGACAGCATCCTTCATGCCATATCTATCTTCCTCTCCCTCTCTTTAACCCTCTTTCCTCTTCTCTCTCTCTCTCTTCATTCGTCTCCTTCCTATTATCTTTATTCCTCGTTTTATCGGTCTCCCGCCGTCTATTACTCTTCCTCCCTCAGTTATTCTCCCTGCCTCAATTATTCTCCCTGCTGTTATCCCTCTCCTCTCGTTGATTACTTTCCCTCCCTTAATTAACCTCCCAGTCATATTTAATCTCCCTTTCTTAATTACTCGACCTCCCTTAATTATCTCCCTCCATTTTTCCTTTTCCCTCTTTATTAACTTCCTTTATCAATTATCCCCTTTACCCTCTCATTATCCCTCTCCATATCTTTATTTCTTTGATTTTCACTCTAGTTACCACCCCCTCTTCCCCTTCGCCTCTCACCCTAGTTACCACCCTCCTTCCCCCCTCCCCCCCCCTAGTTGCCACCCTCCTTCCCCCTCTCCCCTAGTTACCATCCTCCTTCCCCCTCTCTCTCCCCTAGTTACCTCCCCTCCTCCCTAACCCCCTAGTTACCATCCTCCTCTCCCCTTGTTAACACTCCCCTTCCCTCACCCCCTAGTTACCACCCACCCTTCCCCCTCCCATCACCCTGTGACCTTGTCCGCCCCCAACCTGTGTCCTCCACCCTGTCTGTCTCCTTCTCCCTCTCATCTATCTCTCCCTTTTCCTTCTCCCTTGTTCCTTTCCCCTTCTCATTCTTCTTTGGCTATCCTCCTTGTCCTTCTTACCGTGTCTCTCTTATCTCTCTCACTTTGTCTCTCCTCCATGTGTTTTTCCCTAATCTTTCTCACCTCGTCTCTCTCTCTCTCTCTAGTCTCTCACCTTTACCCTTTCCCTTTGTCTTTCTCAACCAATTCGTCTTTCTCTTCCTCACATCCTCTTTCCCTCTCTTCACTTTCCCATCTCTAGTTTCTCAATTTGCACTTCCTTTCTTACTCTTCCTCGTCTCTCCTTCCTCTCCTTCCCCATTCCCTCTCCCTGTTCCTTTATTCTCTTACCTTTCCTACACCTCATTTCATTCTGTCTACTCTCTTTATCCTTTCTCTCGCCTTCCTCTCTTTTTCCTCCTCTCTCTCCATCCTTCCTCCTCTCTTTCTTCTCTTTCTTGTTTCCTCTTCAGTTTCCCCTCTCCTCTTGCCTCCTCATTCTCCCCTCGTGGTTCTTCCTTTTTCCTCTCCTTCTACCCCCTCGTTCCTCTTCTTTTCTTCCCTTCTTTCCCCCTCCCTCCCCTCCCTCTTCCTCCATCTCTCTCCTCCCGACCTCCCACCTTACTTCCCTTTCTTCCTCCTCTCTTCTCCTCTCCTACCTCTCTCTCCCCCTCACTTCATCCTTTATCTCCCTTCCTCATTCTCCCTCCCTCTCCCTTCCCCCCTCTCTTTTCCTCCTTCCTTCCTTCTCCTCTCTTCCTCCTTCTCCCTCCTTCCTCTTTCTCCCCCTTCCTCCTCCTCCCCCCTTCCTCCTCCTTTCCTCCCTTCTACCCCTCCCCTCCTCCTCCCCTCCCTCCTCCCATGGGTGTGTGAGGGTGGTTGGTGAGGAAAGTCCTCAACTCCCTCAGCGCCCTCCCGCAGTCTCTCGAGAGTGTCTCCCCCACCCCCTTCACCGCCCCTCACCCTCTCCCTCCTTCTCCCCCTCCTCCATCTCCACCTCATTTCCTCCCTTCCTTCTTTATATTTCTCCTCCTTCGTTCCTTCCCTCTTCTCTTCCTCCACCGCCCTTCCTCCTTTCCTCTCCCTCCCTTTCTTCTTCCTCCCCACCCTCTCCCTATCCTAACCTAATCTAACCCAATCTAACTTATCGTTAGGTTAAATTAGCTTAGGTTGGGTTAAATTAGAATGTTTTGGTTTGGTTCGATTGGGCTTGGTTAGGTTTAGTTAGATTAAGTTAGGTTGGGTTAAGTTAGACTGTTTTGGGTTGGGTTAAGTTAGACTGTTTTGGGTTGGGTTAAGTTAGACTGTTTTGGGTTGGGTTAAGTTAGACTGTTTTGGGTTGGGTTAAGTTAGACTGTTTTGGGTTGGGTTAGGTTGGGAAAGGGAGGCTGGACAGTGACAGGGGGTATAGTAGCCTAGGGTGAATGTAATTGGAACGACAGTCTGTACATACATGGAATAAATACAGGAAACCTTACCATATATTTCTCTAACCATGATATGTGTGTGTGTGTGTGTGTGTGTGTGTGTGTGTGTGTGTGTGTGTGTCAGCTAGATCGTTGGTTGGTAAATAAAGATCCGGGAGAATGAAAGTCACACATCAAATTTGCCTTATGAAGTAATTATTAAATCTGGTAAACTAAGTAAAAAAAAAACTGAAAAATAAAATATCTAATGTTGTTTAAAAAAAATATTGGCATAGTATCAAATTGTTCACAAACTCACAGAACAAGTTTTAGTCTAAGACGATATAAACATACATTTTATACAATTACAAAACAATATTCAATAAATGACTCAAAATATATCAATATAATGAAAAATCTGAAATAGATTTAAAGCTGTACATTTGTTATATACGGAGCATCACAGAGGGAAACTATACATAGAGAGAAATTAACTAAATGAAAATAAATAGTAACTCGATAATAATACGTTTAATCCGACATTTTAAACTCCTACTTGTGATCCTTTATACAATAATATAAACAATCAGCTGACGACTTATAAACTTTATTACAGGAGTCTTCGGCCAAATGACTCACTAGGCAATTTTCATGATTATCATCCACTTGACTGATCATGCAAAGAAACCATTAATTCCACCATGATTACTAGCACTGCTAATACCTGTACAAAAAATAACTACTTGCAAAAGGTGACATAATGCTCCTGGAATTGTCGTTATTTGTTACCTTGGTCTGTGAGTATTCTTTAAATATTACCCTTAAGACACAGTAATATTAACTTGTGTTGTCCTACTGTAGGCTAAGTACACAGGTTCGTCTATGTCACCACCATCACATACGAAAGACATCAATGTACACTTTTTTTTTAATGGCCTCCAGCCTCCCCCAATAGCCACTCGTTCGCCACCATTTTATTACCTTAATATTAAATATCCTAATGTACACACCTACCACTATTTTATTTTTATTGTTATCTAATGCCTCAGTCAACCATCCTCTGCTATTCTTCGTTCCGCCCAGGTCTCTCTTTTTTTTCATTATATCTATCCACCTTATTCTTAATCTGTCTCTCATTCTACCTTCCATATCCATCATCTACGTTCTTCTTGTCAGCCTCTCTTCTTCCCTTCTCCTGTGTACGTATCCTCCTCTACCTATACAGATTGCCCCCTCTCTCGGTCGCCTTCACATTCCCATACCACATCAATTGCGTTGTCATGATTATTTTATTCCAATATCTCATCTGCCAAGTTCATATCACCTTAGTACACACTCAGTCCTGACTCCATTCTATTCATCAGAAACTTTTTGAGCATATAAATCTTCCTTACGTCTTTGAACTCCCATAGTGTGTGTGTCAGACTGTGTAAGAACTCCCATAGTGTGTGTCAGACTGTGTAAGAACTCCCATAGTGTGCGTCAGACAGTTTACCACTGCTGGCCTTAGTCTTAATCTATAGAGGGATCTTCACGTCCAATAATGCGAGTCTTTTTTCTTGTCGTCTCCTTGTACTCTCTCTACTTACTCTTCCTATTAGATAATGAAGGGTTTTATGACCTCATTTGTTGCTTTTCCTTGTTTTCTATTTTTTTTGTCTTTATTGAATATTTCTCTTCTCTGGTTTACCCACAACCTGTAGTTCTTCTTCAGTCATATAGTGATGGTACAGCAACGGAGTTATTCCCTCTCACTATTCCGCTGACACTTTCCCCATTACAGTTTCCTCTTGGCAACTTCCCCACTACAACACTCTTTTGACAACTCGGCATCTTCCCATTTATGCTTTCCTTTAGGCAACTCCTTGGCACCTCTCCCCTGGCACTTCCCTCCCCAGTACCTTCCCTTGACACCTCCCTGGCACCTTCTGGCACCCCCCCCCCTTCTTGGTGTTTACCGGTCCTTGTAAAAGCTTACGAGAAACTGTTAATGTGTTGTAGGTACTTGTAGGTGTCTGGATATTGTGATGGATGGTTGAAAGTTGTTGGAGGAATCTGTAAACATATAATGAGGCATAAGATGCATTAACCCCTTGAGTATGATGCCATTGTATTTAAGGGTTTAAGTCATTACACTTAAGGGTTTAAATCATCGTACTCCTGAGGTTAATATTTGTATTAATTTTTTTTAGCCTTATTTTTGTTATACTATTCCACATAATTTCCAGTATTTGGGTAAACACTTTCAGTATTATTTTCACCAACATTTCATTAATTTTCCAGTATCCCATATAACATTCCAGTATTCCAGAAAACATTCCAGTAATCTAAATTGTTTTCTAGTTTTCCAAAGCTATTTCATCATTCCAGATTGTTTGGCAGATAGGTGGTGGTGTCCCTAGAGGTGAGTCAGTTTTGATGGTGTGTTGTTCCAGCATGTGATAAAAACATTCATGGGAACATATTTACTCGAAGTCTGGCTCGTTATTGATGATTCAGGGAGAGATGTGGTGATCGGTGGTCCCGGGATAATGTAGGAGGTCCCCAGATAATGTTGGTGATTCTGGGATAACGATGGTGGTCCCGGGATAACGATGGTGGTCATGGGATAACCATGGTGGTCCCAGGATAACGATGGTGATCCCAGGATAAAGATGGTGGTCCCAGGATAAAGATGGTGGTCCCAGGATAATGATGGTGGTCACGGGATATATATATATATATATATATATATATATATATATATATATATATATATATATATATATATATATATATATATATATATATATATATATATATATATATATATATATATATATATATACACACATGCCTTCCCTAGTATTAATGGGTTCCTGTTTGATGGAGGCTTCAGTACTATAGGTCAACATATACACATTTTCCAGCTGTGCTGCACACTGCTGTTCAGTAAACCATTAAAAAACTGGTTGTTTGTTGTATATCATTCTTTTTATAATTTTTTACCCTTTCATCTACGAGCATGGCAGTCTTTTTACATTAAGCCTCAGCTGTACAAAAACTGTTTCCCGTTTTCCGCTCTCTCCCTCTCTCTGTCCCGCTATCCCTCTGTCTCTCCCTCCCTGTCTCTCTCTCAATCTCTCCCTCCTCTCCCCCCCTCATTGACGAGCTCTGGTGGACCACTGCTGCCTGCACGTCAAACACAACTCTACTGAATCACCGTGTACCATTGTTTCATGCTAGGCCACCACACCACACCGTGCCACACCACACCTCACCGCACCACACCACACCACACCACACCACACCACACCGTGCCACACCACACCACACCCTGTTATATACCCTGAAGCAACAGACGCTCTACCAACACACACACACACACACACACACACACACACACACACACACACACACACACACACCCACCCTGAGGCAACACACTCTACCAAGACACCCAATCAAAACACACAGGCAACACATCTACCAAGACACCCTAATCAAAACACACACACACACACACACCCTGAGGCAACACACTCTACCAAGACACCCTAATCAAAACACACACACACCCTGAGGCAACACACTCTACCAAGACACCCTAATCAAAACACACACACACACACACACACACACACACACCCTGACCGTAGAGCAAGAGTGATGAGCGCGCGGCTGCTGGCGGTACATGTCCCAACTGGGCTGCATATTTAACGGGTCCACATATTTAATGCAGCCAGTGTATGCATATTTCCTGGAGTGGCCCAGATACTGAGGCGGGGCTCTCAATGTTGCATCATAGAGCACTGTTTTTTAATTGTGGCCAGAAAACAGGACCAGTGCACCTTCCTCCTCACCCCCATGTCTTTGTTAGATGTGTGTGTGTGTTTGTAAGGATGTGTTGTTTTTGTTGTGGTTGTTTTGATTGGTCTGATTCTTGGTGATGTTTAAGTCTTCTTCGTCTTTTTTTTCTTCCTTTTCGGTGTGTGTGTGTGTGTGTGTTTGTTTGTTGTGTGTGTGTGTGTGTGTGTGTGTGTGTGTGTGTGTGTGTTGTATTTCATTTACTGTTCCTCTCTTCTGTGTGTCTGTTTTCATTTAAATTTATTTTTTACCTCCACTATTTATTACACCGTTTGTTTCTCTCCATTCTTTACTGTTGAATTATTTTAGTTTCTTAATTGTGTTTTGCTAATTCGTGTTGTTTATCCTCCTGGTGTGCTTCTGTTAGCTGTCACTGTTGCTCATTCATGCTTTACTCGCTGGATTGGGCTATTTACTCTTTCTTCCTCACCGATTTTACCCTCGATTTTAACCCGATTTTGAATTATCAATATTTAAGTAAAGAACCCAGACTATACCTCTCCCCGTGTTAGTTCAGCGTGTGAAAATATATTGTTGATATTGAACGTACTAAATATTGTGAAATTTAAGATGGCGTTTTAAATATTTTTTTTATTTTTTTATTTTATTATTAGATATTTTGGATATTTTTTGACTTTGTTTACACGCACTACACACACACTGCTTTATCTCCTGTTCTTTGTTATTATAACTATCAATGTATCTTTAGTTTTATCTTATTATTTACATATTTGTCCGGATTATGACATATTACACATTTATTTATTTATATAATAAGTGTTTAAAATATAAGGGGATTTTCATTCATTAATTATATTGTCAATGTTATTTACAGCTTATCATGTTCACATTCGCTACTGAAGTTATTTTATGATCATTTATGTGGACTGGATCAATAATAACTCCATGTTGTGTTGTTGTCTCTGAGATGAACAGTGGATATTTTGGACACGTTGTTCTCTTATTTATCTTCAACACACTCAAGTTCTTCAATAAGACAGGGGCTTTAACTGTAGACTCAATGCTTTAGGAATAAGATGGAAAGAAAAGAGCCAGAGTTAGATAATGTTTAAGCCAGCTTCTGTGGGTTATGTGCGTGTGTCATTTCATCATTTAGTAGTGTTGTAAAGTGTCATTCCTTATCTAACATGACCTCGTGAGGGGAAGAGAAAGTGACTGGCGGCTTGCAGCGAAGACCAGCAGGAACTAGTGACATGATAAACCAACAAAGTCAGGGTCAAGTTGTACGTCTGTTTGTCTGGTGCAAAAATTTGTCTTCCAGTCATGGTGAAGCTGAGTTACACTGGAGGTAATAGCTGATTAAAAGGTTTATATTTCAACTGAAGATGTTTTGGCCAGGTATAGATCACCTTTTCGTTTTATGGCTACAACTTAATGGAAATGAATTGAGCCGCAGTGTCAAATTATTGAACACCCGAACACTACCCCTGACATCAGCTGCAGTGTCCAGTCATTAAACACCCTGACACGACACCTGAGATCAGCTGCAGTGTCCTGTCATTAAACACCCTAACACGACACCTGAGGTCAGCTGCAGTGTCCAGTCATTAAACACCCTAACACTACACCTGAGGTCAGCTGCAGTGTCCTGTCATTAAACACCCTAACACTACACCTGAGGTCAGCTGCAGTGTCCTGTCATTAAACACCCTAACACGACACCTGAGATCAGCTGCAGTGTCCTGTCATTAAACACCCTAACACGACACCTGAGATCAGCTGCAGTGTCCAGTCATTAAACACCCCAACACTACCCCTGACATCAGCTGCAGTGTCCAGTCATTAACACCCCAACACTACCCCTGACATCAGCTGCAGTGTCCAATTATTACACTTAACACTACACCTGAGGTCAGCTGCAGTGTCCAGTCATTAAACACCCCTAACACGATACCTGAGATCAGCTGCAGTGTCATTAAACACCACGACACCTAGATCAGCTGCAGTGTCATTAACACCCTAACACTACACCTGAGGTCAGCTGCAGTGTCCAGTCATTAAACACCCTAACACTACACCTGAGGTCAGCTGCAGTGTCCAGTCATTAAACACCCTAACACTACACCTGAGGTCAGCTGCAGTGCCCAGTCATTAAACACCCTAACACTACACCTGAGGTCAGCTGCAGTGTCCAGTCATTAAACACCCTAACACTACACCTGAGGTCAGCTGCAGTGTCCAGTCATTAAACACCCTAACACTACACCTGAGGTCAGCTGCAGTGTCCTGTCATTAAACACCCTAACACTACACCTGAGGTCAGCTGCAGTGTCCAGTCATTAAACACCCTAACACTACACCTGAGGTCAGCTGCAGTGTCCTGTCATTAAACACCCTAACACTACACCTGAGGTCAGCTGCAGTGTCCAGTCATTAAACACCCTAACACTACACCTGAGGTCAGCTGCAGTGTCCTGTCATTAAACACCCTAACACTACACCTGAGGTCAGCTGCAGTGTCCAGTCATTAAACACCCTAACACTACACCTGAGGTCAGCTGCAGTGTCCTGTCAGCTGCAGTGTCATTAAACACCCTAACACTACACCTGAGGTCAGCTGCAGTGTCCTGTCATTAAACACCCTAACACTACACCTGAGGTCAGCTGCAGTGTCCAGTCATTACACACCCTAACACGACACCTGAGGTCAGCTGCAGTGTCCAATTATTAAACACCCTAACACTACACCTGAGGTCAGCTTTGTGTTGTGTGAGTGGCCATTTTGCTTCCTTACACAGTCAAAATCAATCAATTCGGAGTTGACTAGTATTCTATTTCTCTTGTGTACAGTGCATTATGAACATCAACTGAACACTTTCCACCAACAAGCACCCCATGCACCCAGGTAGTTGACAGATCGAAATTGACATCACCATTCAATTTCTTGTGGTCGTTTTAGGTGAGCAAGATGTCATCATTCTCCCTATCTATCACGCGCCGTGTGTACATATAAAGATGAATTCACCTTAAATGCAGTTGGTGAAAATCGTATCTAAAAATGGTGTCTATTTTTTTTTTCTTTTTAATGGACTTTTGTTACGCGTGGCGATGTACACATGTTGAAAATTGTGTATGTGTGTAAAGTTCAAGTCCAGTGACCCTTATGTTGGTGTGGGGTGTCATGTAAGGAGATGTGAGGTAATGTGTCATAAGGGGGTGTTGAAGGGTGTGGTGTCGTATGAGATATCGAAGGGTGAGGTGTCATGAGCCTAGTGATATCAGAAAGAATACCAGATGATGTGTCATACAGGGTGTCATGTGTCATAATCACCTCGTGGTACAGTAGATGTCAACACGTACCAAATCACGAACATTTCACAGTAGCTTCTCTAACGCGAGTGTCGACAACAATTACAGGCAGGAGTATTTAAAATTTTAATATAACAATAATAATATATCCAAACTACGTCATTAAACCAAACTTTTTTTTTTTGCCTACGTGAGATTCCAACTTCATTTTTCTGTTCTGGTTTCAGGGTTTAAGTTCATCATACTCCAAGGGTTTAAGTTCATCATACTCCAAGGGTTTAAGTTCAT